GTTGTTTATGTTTAGGGGAAAGTGTGCGTATGTGTTGTGATACTCTCTAAAATGGCGGAAGACGTAACTCGGTGGAGAAGAATTGTTGAACAAATGTTTATTTTTGTTTTCTTTGAGCTAAAAAAGTATTCTCGTTGCTTCGCAAAACTGAAGTTGAGCCACTGATGTCACATGGACTGTTTTACTGATGTCCTTACTACGTTTCTGGACCTGGGAACATTACAGTTGAGTTGCTGTCTATGCAGGGTCTGAGAGCTCTCCCATTTCATCAAAAATATCTTAATTTGTGTTCCGAAGATGAATGGAGGTCTTACGGGTTTGGAACGACATGAGGGTGAGTAATTAATGACAGAATTTTCATTTTGGGGTGAACTAATCCTTTAATTTTTCTTTATCAAAAGAACTGGTTTTGTGTTGTGTTTTCACTTACACACTTCAATATGTACAGTATATCTGTATGTTTATTTTAACATGTGTTTGTGTTAATTGCAAGGGAGCTACATACAGTCCTGAAATCCGCAAGTTATGTTCACGGTGACAATCATGGTCATTTTGAGGGAGGCGTTAAGCTCGGGGTCGGGGCCTTTAACCTGGTGAGTGCATTGTCATATGTTTTCTTGTGTTTTAGCCTTAAAATACCTTCAAGTGTTCCCTCTTAAATCAAACATGAACATTTATGAATCCTACCATAGAGTTCATTGAGGACAAGTCTGTTTTCTCAACCCCTCACCTGTGTTTCTCCCAGATGCTGTCATTGTTGCCAACACGAACTCTCAGGTTGTTGGAATTTGTGGGCTTCTCTGGTAACAAAGTGAGTATTGTGTAGTACTAAGCTTAGTTTGGCTCTGCTCACATTTGGCGTGTACAAATGAAATTTAATCTGAGCTTGGCTGTTTTTGCTTTCTGTCTGTTTTAGCAATAAAGTGTGTCAAGGTGCATGCTGATGTTTTTTATACTTGTTTGAATGTAGTGAAGCACATAAGTGTGAATGATTTCCTGTGTGTTGTGTCTGTCTTAAAGAAATAGTTCACCCAAAAATGAAAATTTGCTGAAAATGTACTTACCCTTAGGCCATATGTAGATGAGATTGTTTCTTTATCAGAACAGATTTGGAGAAATGAAGCATTACATCACTTGCTCTCCAATGGATCCTTTTTAGTAATGGGTGCCGTCAGAATCATAGTTCAAACCGCTGATAAATGCATTACAAAAATTCACGGGTAATCCACATGATTCCAGTCCATCAATTAGTATTGTAAAGTGAAAAGCTGCATATTTGTAATAAACAAATCCATCATTAATGCATTTTAACATTAGTAATCCACAATGGATTAATCCATAATAAAGTTTCCTGAAGTGAAAAAGTCCATCCTCTGTTGACCTCTCACATCAAAATATAAATGGTGATTATTTCTTTCCTGATTCAGGCAAGACTACTTTTTCACCTGAGAAAGCAATATTATGGATGTCGTATTTTAGGAGCTGTGGTTTGAAGTTAAAAACATCTTAATGATAAATTTGTTTATTACACATATGTAACCCTATGCTTCACAAGATGTTTATTGATGAATTGGAGTTGTGTGGATTACTTGTGGATTATTGTGATGTTTTTATCAGCTGTTTGATCTCTCATTCTGACGGCACCCATTCACTGCATAGGATCCATTGGTGAGCAAGTGATGTAATGCTACATTTCTCTGTTCCAGTGAAGAAACAAACTCATCTTTATCTTGGAGGGTGAGTACATTTTCAGCAAATTTGCAATTTTGAGTGAACTATTACTTTAGGCATGTTCTACAGTTCCATTATTCTACATCTAACACTGTACATATGTGTGTGTGTTTTAGGAGTTTGGTCTTCAGCAGCTCCAGGAGGGCTCTGCTGAGCAAACATTTAGGTCTTTCCTTTGTAACATGTTGTTGCTTTGCTACCACACCTTCATGAGCTTCATTTTGGGTAAGAGAAGATTGCTTCTGAATCACATTTTCAATTCATATTTAACACATCTGAAGTATCAATGTGTTATTTGGTATCTCATTGCATGTATGTGCGTGTCCTTTAGGCACTGGAGAGGGAGATGTGAAAGATGCAGAAAAGCTGTTGCAGCCTTATCTAAAAAAGTATCCAAAGGTACTTGACCACCATTTTCAAATGCAACAGAGTATCCGGTGGAAATATCACAAAAAAATTAACTCTCACTTTCATTTACATTAGAATATGAACAGCTGCCGCAATCACTGTTATTAAATAGTAGAGTATGAATTTTAAATCTGACAACTGCTGTGTTTCTGTCAGGGATCCATTTTCCTGTTCTTCGCTGGTCGAATAGAGGAAATTAAAGGAAATCTCGATGCTGTAGGTGATAGTTTTATCTAATGCATAAAAAGAGAAGTGTTTTGTTTATATTCTTATATATTCTTTTTTTTTTTTTTACTGCCTGTTTGCATATGCATGTTCTTGTTCTGAAGGCTATCAAGCGTTTCGAGGAGTGTTGTGAAGCTCAGCAGGACTGGAAGCAGTTCCATCACATGTGTTACTGGGAACTGATGTGGTGCTTCACCTATAAAAGGCACTGGAAGATGGCCTACTTCTACGCAGACCTGCTCAGCAAAGAGAATTCCTGGTCTAAGGTGAAACCCTAAAATACACAGTTGACTGCTACACTGAATCATTGCTTGATTATTGAATTAAAATGGGTTGAATTTCAAGTTTATTTATACACTTCCATTTAAAGGTTTGAGGTCGGTAAAATTTTTAATTGTTTTTGAAAGAAGTCTCTTATGCTCACCAAGGCTCCATTTATTTGGTCAAAAATACAGTAAAACCAGTAATATTGTGAAATATTATTACGATTTAAAATAACTGTTTTCTATTTTAATTTATTTAAAATTATCATCTATTCCAGTGATGTCAAAGCTGAATTTTTGGCAGACATTACTACAGTCTACATATCATAAATGTTATATATATATATATATATATATATATATATATATATATATATGATGCATTCACTTTTTAATGAAATCGAAGATATGCTCTGGGTTTAAAAGGTCTGCTGATATAACATAAATGGAGGCTGAGGACAATTAATCTCCCGCAGTGATGTTTGTGTTTACTGTGCAGTTCAGAACTCATTGCTCTTTTTTTTTTTCTCTCACACACACTTTTTTCAGGCCACATATGCGTATATGAAAGCTGCTTACCTCAGCATGATGAGTCGTGAGGAATGCCAGCCGTTCGGGGAGAATGAGGTGGCTTTGTTTAGGTAATGGCAAGGGAATGGTGTGCGTGAGCGTGTATGTTCATGTTTGTTCATAAGAGAATGTAATCACATGATTAAATATAATTCTATAAATCGGACAACATGACTATCAGATCAGGAAAAGGTAATTTATATCATATACAGCCTGTACTGTAATGTCATTCAGTTCAAACAAACATTGCAAAAGACCAAATATTTTATCTATATTTTAGCCCATCCTCTTGCAAATATAAAATGGACATTAAATGTACTTTACTGTATTAATACAAACTGTGATCTGTTTGGCACTTTTCAGGCAAGTTCCCAGTCTGAAGCAGAAAATAGCTGGGAAGTCATTGCCCACAGAGAAGTTTGCCATCAGAAAAGCTCGACGCTATAATACAGATAATGCTATTCCTCTTCCTGCACCTCCATTGGTCAGTGTTCAATTTTATACAGATTTTACTGTCTGTATTTATTTGATACTGCAAGTGTCTTTTTGCATAGTTCACACAGGATGTCTTCTTGCATCTTTGGCTGTCATGTCATGTCATTTAGAGTTACCATTCAGATGTATCAAGTCTGATAATGTACATTGGCAATAGTGTACTGCATCTATAAACGGGCTTCCTGTTCTATTCTATTGCGTTCCGTTTTCCTTTTTAGAAGACATCCTGTTTGAAAAGCCCTTTAATTAACAAAGAGTAAGGAATTAGACCATCTTTATTTGTGTAATGCCACTTCAAAACAAACAAAGGGAAACACCTGGACGAGACGCAGTCTAAAATTCATACTCATTGTGAGGGTATGTTTGCACGACAGGAGATGATGTATATCTGGAATGGCTACACTGTGATTGGGAAGCACGAGGACCTTACAGAGGGCATGCTGAAGACCCTGGATGAGGCCCAGCAGACGCTTGAGCAACATCCAAGTAAAATCTCTTTCCAAACAATGCAGTACTGCTTATGCTGGTGTCCACTTTTAAAATAATATTTCACCCAAAAATAATGTAATTATATATTCCCTCATGTCATTTCAAATGATACTCTGCAACAACGATTAATAATGACCATGAGCACCAAAAAGTATCAGTGTAACAGTGTGTTCCACTGAAAAAAAACCTCCACACAGACACTCTCTGTATCACATTTAGCGTTTTTTCTATAACATAAATGTCTCTGTGTGTTTGCCCTCAGGGACCGAGTTCACCACAGATGACCAGTGTGTGGTTAGTCTGCTTAAGGGGCTCTGTCTCAAACACTTGGGTTTCAAGGAAGAAGCTGAACATTACTTCACCCTCGTCCTCTGCAAGTCAGTTTTGCTCTTTTACTGTACAACAAACCACACTAACTTGAAGAGAAGTGTTTGTGGTTTTTCTTGTGAAGACATGGCCTATTTTCTGGTACTGAATCTACAGAAGGGTAGAGTCTCACTTGTAAAATTATGTGTTATGTGATTTTATAGCACAGAATAAGAAATGTTACATGTTTTAATCTCCAGGATGTCACAGATAATAGAGAAAACGTTTTAAACATTCTTAAAGATAGCATCACAAATGCTCTCCTTCTGTCTGTCTGTTTGTGTTTGTGTTTGTACTTGTACAGTGAGAGTCAGATTAAATATGACCACTACCTGGTGCCCAATGCACTTCTGGAACACGGTTTACTGTGTTTGGAGCAGGGCAGAATAGAGGAGGCCATCAAACTTCTGGAGACAGCCAAGTAAGTTCAGTCCTGACAGTGATTGTTTTATACCTCTAAGATAGCAATGTACATAATGTGTGGAGTGACCCTGTTTGCAGAGTTGGTGTCAGAATGTATTATCTAAGGGAGCATTTGGAATTTCAAAGCAGGCACAGATTTGCCACTTTACCCTAACTAAATGTAACACTGCTAAAATTGCTGGTTGTTTTCATCACAGTCTGAAAGATTGATTCGTGGCTTTGTTCGACATGGAAAACCATACCAACTGCTCAAAAAAACAATGTTTATACCTTTTGACCTCACTGTTAAATAAATTTTAAAAAATTAAAAAAAATTTTTTAAATGTATTTTATCATTTTGTATGTAAGTAATGTAATTTCATAATGTAATTTAAAATCAAGTAAAAGTGTATGAAAATAGAAATTATGCTATAAAATTCAGTTATACACAGGTTGCATAATTTGTCACATTGCTGTGGATACATTGCTGTGAAATTGGTTTCACTAATTTTGAAACCATTCAAAATTAGTAAAAAAAACAAAAAGTTAAAAGAATTTTGTATTAGGCAACAAAGTAGTATAATTATATATATATTAGGAGTCTGCATAATTTAATTTCAGATTTGATTTGCTTTAATTGTACTGTAAGATGCCATTGTATTCTTAGATATATTATAATCCCACCAAAAAAAAGTGTGGCATTCAGCATGTTCAGTCATCAACTGAATAAAAACAATTTGACAACTGATTCACAGAATTATTCATTTTATAATCGAGTCGCATATCATGGCTGTTTAACAGATGTAAAACACTCTGACATAATATGAAACACTCGTATTTTATACCTTTATCCTGTTTGATACATGATATACTCAGTCATTGCCTCGTTAGTCTTGAACACTATTAACCATGATTTCTTTGCCAGGCAAAATTACAAAAACTACTCCATGGAATCACGGACTCACTTCCGGATCCAGGCAGCACTACATAAGGCACGAGGCACAGCTGTGAACGGAGACCACTGCTCATCCTCCAGCCCTTAACAGTTGGGGTCATCGCTGGGGTCACAGCAAGCCAAGATCCGGCTTGACATGGGTTGCCATATGTCAAGAGGAGGACTAAAAGAGCACATGACTGATCAGACCCGAGCTGAGCTTATAGTGACTAATCATCTTCATTGAATGACACACACAGAGATTATACAGTACATGGACAACAGCTGCATGAATGATGTTGCGTGAGGTGCAGTGCAGTTCACTTAAGACACAGAAGTGACATCATGCTGTTATGATGTCATATAAATAACATTGTGCTGTTAGAATATTGTAAATGTAACTTTATGATTAATAATAATAATAATAATATAACCCTAGATACAAGTTATATCAGTCCAATAATATTATACTGGTACTTCAGGCTAAAAACATTGTCATTCAGAACAAAAGTAAGGCCATCTGTCAATCATATTGGCTGCTTTCGAAGCTTTTGTTGGTAATGCTCTCCACTGTTGGTCACCCTGTGACATCAGCAGCCTAGATGTGGCTGTGCCTTACAGCTAACTGTTTGATTTGGATTTAAAGCACATGTGCACAAATATTAGTTCACTTTTAATCTTTGGAGTATAAATGGGTTATAAAATAAGCCTATTGTCCAGAGGTTATATGATGAATTGTTCATGGGTTACTCTTTGGTTAGAGTACTGTGGCCTTGTCAAATCTCATGGACAGGATTCCTGTTCTAAGCTTAATTTTTATCACATAACATTGTCTTTGTGTTTCTGTGTACATAATTAGTCTGTTTTAGCAATGTGTTTAAAAAGAAAACAAGCATCTTCATAACAGCAAATAAGGAATGTAAACTAGAAGTTTTATGGGTTTAGTGTTTTTTTTTTTTTTTTTAGTATTTATTCACTCTTGTGGCGCCTTTCAAATTTGTCCCGTTTTAAGTGGGCATCTGAATGTGTCTTTTAGAAAGGCAGTCTCCTTCATGTGGACTTGGTCCAGATCGTACTTGAGCTCAAACAAACAAGTCTTTTAGATACATGCAGGACAGGCTGGCATGCCAGCTCTAGCCAAAGTGAGGGATGCACTGACAACCACTACAGACTTACACTACGAAGAGAAAGAAAATTTGAGCTGGTTCAGGACAGGGGATTGTACTTTGTTCAGTATATGAATGCTACTTCATGGAGCTTTTCCCTGTAGTATGGAGTTCAACCAACTAAACACAGCTGCAGTGTAGTTTTCAAATGCGGTGGTGTATTTTCAGATGTAGTTTTAATCAGACTTTCAAGGCTTGTGTTTTATATTAATTTATCCCAGATTAGTTGAATAGTATCCATGGATGTTTGTTCTTCTGCAGTGTAATCTGAATAGTGCCTGTTTTATGAGATCCAGTTCTACCAAAGTCAAATTTACATTAAGCAAAAACAATCATCAGCTCATGCTGTAACCTTGTGTTTGCTCAGAAATTTCACAGGCAATGTGTTTCATGCTGTGTGCTTCAAATGTGGCAAAACAAAATGTTTGAAAATGAATGATATATGGGTTTTTCATTGTTATTGCTTTTGTTTCTCATTGAAATTCTTCCTGATTTAGATTGATTTTACAGGCTTTGGGCTATAGAGGTCAGCAAATCCTGTATATGGTGGTGCATGGCTACTGTGTAAACACATTCCTGTAAATACTGAACTTACATTTTCTAATTTAAAATGAAATGATATGATAGCATTCCAAAAGACACTTCTTTTGTTTTCCTTATTTGATCTAAGCGGCCTGGCTGCTTAAAGATATAGTCCACCCAAAAAATTGACATTCTGTCCATTCATTGTCTTGCATGAAAAACAAAAGGGGATGTTTAGCAGAATGTCAGCCTCAGTTGCTATTCACTTTCATTGTATGGAAAAAATATGAAGGTGAATGAGGCTGTCATTCTACATTACATTCTGCCGAACATCTCCTTTTGTTCAGGTTTAATATTAAAAAACATGGTCCTATATTTCTGATGAATCTTCATATCTTCAAAACATAAACATAAAAGGGTGATTTAAAATTATATTACAAAAATAAAACTAGTATGGTACATTGTAATCAATAAAAACATCCTGGCTACACTATACATCTGCAGTACACGATGTCAGCATTGTTACTGTTAACTAAAACCAAAACTATTAAAATTAGTTATTTTTAAATAAAGCTGGCATGTATAACAATGTATAACAAAATAAAATATAAATATTAGCTGAAATACTTAAAAACGATGCCTTGGCAACAAACTGAAATAAAATATTTAAGTTGAAGTACTAAAATTATTAAAACTAAACCTGAAATTAAAATAAAATTAAATATTAATGTAAAAACATAAATAATAAAAAATGTCAAACGCACATGAAAAAATTACTAAAACTTCAAACTAAAATTAAAGTCGCCATTCGTTTTCAACACATCGTTTTAGCTACTATGAAAGTGAATAGTGACTGGGTACTGTCATTCTGTCTAATATCTCCTTTTCTGAGATATTAGGCGTTTACCCAACAAAATGAATTACAACAGAATTTTTAATATCGAGCGAACTATGCCTTTAAATCGGCCTAATGCGGTCAAGTTTACAGGCTTTAAACCCCCCTGTTGTTGGTGTTGCAAGTTGGCGATCTGATTGGGTGACGAATAACCACTAAAAACGTCCTTACTAAAAAAGACACCTGCTGATTGGTCCATGCAGCCCGGAGGCGGGACTTAGAATGACTGCCTGAAAGGCAACCTTGCCTGAGTCGCCATTGAGAGCGAGCGCATATTTGATATTGTAGATATTATCGGTTGAAGGCTATCCAGTGTTTACTGTTGAGACGAGGAGAAAAGGACAGCACTACATAACACGGCTTTAGGGCATATAGACGTATTTGACAGGTTTAGATTGTGTGTGTTTACAAAAACATCGTTTCATATCCGTTTTCTGACACTTTTTGCCAGGGTTCTTTGTGTGTCGACAATGGTTTGTTTTTCTCCGTCAGGGTCTCTCATGATGATCGGATCATTTTAAATGAATGATAGAGATTTAGTCATTCTTTTTAAAAGGGCAGAAGTCCGGTTGGAGTGATTAAGGGCGGAAAGGAGGGGATAGACAGGATTTCAACATTTAGACAACAAGGAGTTTGGAAAGGAGATGGGGAATTGTCTGAAATCTCCCACTTCGGATGATATCTCCTTGCTCCACGAATCACAGTCAGACAGGGCCAGTTTCGGTGACGCCAACGATCCGGATCAGGAACCGCCACCTCCATATCAGGTAAGCTAATGAAAAACCGAAAGAATAAACAAAGAAACTTTCCTTTTGGCTGAAATGCTGTGTCTCGAGTCCACGCTCCTGCTTTCTATTGTAAACATTCACGTTGCTATATTCATAATCTGTAATATCTTGCAAAAACAAAAGCATACTAATATACGGAAACATAAATCAGTAGCACCAGGCTCCCGCAGGAGCTCCATCTGTTTAATTTCACCCAAGACAGTGTGCCGTACTAAATCCTCTTTGTTCGACATAAACTTGGCCTACAATTCACGTCAGACTGTCCAGACAGATGGACAGCCTGCTATTTCATTTTTACTGCCGCCTCCTCCGTGGCGTGTTGATTCACCAGCACCAGCTTTATTGCGACAAAGTAACAATTATGATTGTGACGCGCGTTGTTTGCAATTGTGACGTCATAGCGATGTTATTCTCCCTTGTAGTGTTTCCCAACCCGTTTTTGTCCTTTTTAGTATTTACAAAACTTGCATATATTATTGTCATGTTTGTTTTAATCTATTATCAGTTTTAGAAGTACTTTAATTGAAATCGCATACCCCTGGTTGGGAATCACTGTACTAGGGGACCCAGGGGGCTTGGGGTCCCTGCAAACTTTCATAGGGGCTGCAGGAAGGCGTCAAATATTTTAAATAAAACAACGGGGTGGCTTTCCAACATTGTCTTGGAGTCAAAAACATGGGAAACTATGGGATTTTCCCATTTTTACTGACATGTGGAATCAGTTGAAGTTCAAGTCATGAGATCATGTTGTTTAACGTGATGTCATGTGGCATATTACTTTGTTTAAAAGAAAGACATTCATGTCATGTCAGCATGTTGTAACTCTTTCATGGGAACTGGGTTTGACAGGATAGATGTCTTTGTGTTGGGTGAAGCAAACCACTTTTAAACAGATAATCATGAAAGCATTGTGTGCATTAAGCAAACATTTGATGTGCTGTCACTGTGTTTTGACAGAAGCAACATGGTTTATACTGTGCATATGCACTGAACTGAGAGGAAGTTCAAGCTCTATTTGCTGCTGTGAATGCTGTTTCATCCTTTTAGTTGTGTATTGATCTTATCTGCTTTACAAAAAGACAGCAACAAACAGTGCTTCCCCATTAGCAAACTGCCATTGGCCCTTCAGGTTCCAAATGATAGGTAATTGCATCTCAAACAATCATGCAGTAATTTCTTCAGAACTACTGTGACGTAACGGTCTTATAAATCTTATGAAAAACATTCCTTTAGTAGTTTAGAACATTCTCTCCGGGCCTGGTTTCAGTTTTGGCTGGATAATCTAGATGCTGATTGGCACGGAGTGGAAGCAACCACCCAATGAAAGCAGCTGGTAGATGGTGGGACGTTTTGTGCTGTACTCCTTGCACTTCTCAGCTGTACTAACAGCATTCTGCCATTTCCTCCTCCACATATTCGTCTGGAAATAGCCTGAATGTTCTGATGGGCCAGGAGATTGACTCAGAGGAGAACCGCAGTTTATAAAATAGCTTATACAAACCTGTTTATGAAACATTTCTAGGTAGTGTTGCATGTATAATGATCGCAGAAGAGTTATGGTGATCACAGACCTGTTTTTGTGTCATTTTCCAGTGGATTGTGTTTTTGATAAGCACTCTTTAATTTGCTTTTCCAGTGGGTGCTGGTGTTCTGTGGTAGTACTAGTTATTTATTATTTGCACTCCATACAATTAATAATCACATGTTAAATGAAGAAATAGCATCCATTTTTGAAGCAAATCTCTCACATCGTACAGCTCAAGGGTTGAAATGCAAACAGAATTTCATTATAGGATAAATGCACTCTTTCTTGTGGTGCTGGGCTGTGTCTTTCAAGAGGAGGCACCTTTCTGCTGAACGCCAGCAAAAACCGTGCTCAGCTTTCTGTTTTGTGAAGTTATTGAGTCTCTGGGGTGCAAGATCAGACAAGGGTGTAAAAAAAAAAAAAAACGAGCAGAAGAAGACGGCACCGTTCTGAATTCACCCAGCGTTTGTTAACGGCACTGCTGCTCTGTGCAATATTCTGATGGCACGCTTCAGCCTATTGTCAGAATGTTGGACAGACAGGAGGTCTGTTTGAATCACGCAGTGGATGAAAAAATGCACAGGTCCCTTGAGAACCCAAATCATTCCCAATCTCAGCACATTCTTGTGTTGCGACGCTTGCCAAGAATGCTTGACGTTTTTTCCCCCCAGAGTCTCGGGCAGGGAGCTAGAAGGGGCTGTCTGTGCTCTCAAGTATGCACGGAAACTGTTCTGCTTTTTTTTTTTTTAAGTTATAAAGGGATCTTTAAAATGCAGTAGTAGATAGTTGTAAATTGCCTCCTTCATATGCCTTCAAAAACGTGCATCAAATACTTTGCCGCTACTTCTTTCAGAACACAAAGATGCCGTCGTCCAAGTCTTTCTGTTAAAGGGATTATTCACCCAAAAATGAAAATTCTGTCATCTTTTATTCACTTGTCATTTACACAACACACACAGACCTGTATGACTATCTTTTTTCTGTGAAACACAAATGAAGATATGTTGAACTGATATTTGAACCGTTTTTGTTCATACAATGAAAGAACAGCACTGGACCCCATTGACTTTCATTATATAGATTAAAAAAAACACCTTATAACGTTTTTTTGTGGTCTACAGAAGAAAGTCGTACAGGTTTGGAATGACATGAGGGTAAGTAAATGATGACAGAACTTTAATTTTTGAGTCTACTATCCCTTTAAGGTTTCTCTCATTACATGCCACATTAAGTGTGTGCAGAATAGGATAAGTATGTGTGCATGAAGCTAATTTACATCATCAGGAAATGGAGCGGTAATGTTAGCAGAGGGCTCAACAGATTTTTTTTTTCAGCTTGTACAGTAGTTTAGATTTGCAATTTGCACTCCAATATCTATAAATCCATAAATTATATGATGAGCATTGCAATTTGAGTGAAAAGTCAGCCATTATTCCAGGCTTTACTGTCACATGATCCTTCAGAAGTCATTCTAATAAGAAACATTTCTTATTACTATATTGAAAACAGCTTGATGTATTTTGTAATCATTTACATATTTTTCTTTGAATGAAAGGTTTGAAGAACAGCATGTATTTGAAACAAATGTTTTGTATCATTACAGATGTCTACTTTTTAACTTTAACTTTTTTTATTTAGTCAGTCAATTTATTTCAATTTTCTGTAAAGCATTTCCGTTTAGGATTTCTGTACTAGTTGATGTCTTATCAATGCTCTCATGGTTCCTGGCTTTCTTTAGCTGCTATGTTAAGCAGCATTAGCACCATTGTATAAGGAGCTCTGTAGAGTTAGCCTAGTTTCACACCCTGTGACTCAGACAGAGACTAAACAGATGAGAACGACTCTATTTCGGAATAACAGCCAGATCCCTTCCACTATGATCTGCATGACTGAACAGTAAATACAGTTCATGCAGTAAAGCCAAACTGCATTATTGTTTTGATGCTGTATTGTGAATCTAATTGAA